TGCAGGAACCGTCTTTGCTTCCAAACCTGAAGAAGAGTTATATGAATGAATCTCCATTACCTGTGGAGTTTGCCAGGGAGATGTACTTTTACCTTTGCTATCATACATTATTTTCCTATTTCTTCTGCCAAACACTGCAAGGAGTAGCATATTTTCGTCTTGGCAAAGACGAAGATTTCATTCTCCAGGGAACGCAGAGTTTAAGATATCCGGTAGATATCTTGCAGACCTGAACTACGGAGCTGATATCGCCTTCGTGAGTAGTACGGGAAGATGGTTTTGCCATCTGACGGCTTCCGGATGTAACAAATGCGAATGCCTGCCTCTTCCATAACGTCCAAAAGTCAGAAATTATGACGAACTCATCCGGTATAGCTGATCTACAAGTGGGCCAAAAAGCCATTTAGGAGGCTGATCAGTTTAAGTAGCTCGGCTCCATTACCTTCAGTGATGTCACTACTTAGCCAGAGTTAAATAAGAGGACTGCCCTAGCCTCAAGTTTTTTTGGAAACCTGTTCGATATTTGGGCTGATAAAGGAGTTACCATAAAAAATCTGCTTGTATCTTACCTGTCAGATCAGTGTTGCTGTACAGCGTAGAGACAGCTGTTCTAACCTAGAAACAAAGACGACGGTGACGGTTGAACGACGTTGGCTTTGACGCAAAATGAGAGCTAAATGGCATGACAAGAAATGATTCCATTATCCTCCTGGCACAAGTGAGCTCGTTAGATGTGCAGATTAAGAAAATGAGGTTGGCCATGCTAGTAAAACTGAGTGAGAATATGCCATTTATGCAGACAATGAACTTTTCGTGTGAGAAGTGAAACAGGATAGACATCGACCAGGAGGCCAGTATGCAACACGGAGGAACAAGGCAGAGGCAGATCTGGTTTTGGAGAGGAATATTTCCTTCTGCAAAGCTGCTTCCCTAGAGAAAAAGTGCCGACAAGCTGTGGATATAGCGGACATAAAATAGGAGAAATGCTCTGCTTATGGAAATGGCGGAAAGTGATGCTCTCAACAAACACAACACATATGCAGTAGTATCATCAGGACACAAGTCGCCTCATGCATACGAAAACACAGCCTTTCAAAGTTAGTACCTAATTAATACCAGAACTTAACCAGCATATGCATAAGTTTAAACTTTAGGTTTTAGTCTCTACCACTCATCGCACCATTTTACATTCGTGAAACTTCACAAGGGGGCATCTATTTTGACTGATCATCCTGGCAAGAGGGACAGTAACACACTCGACCTTACAAATTCACGATCTGTAACAAATCTCCGCCGCTAGTAGGATGGCTTACACAGTGAAGGACAGTCATGAGCTTTTATTATGACTGATAAAATTTCAAGGGCAAAAATGCTTCCTGGTATCTGTGGATGGCATTGCTCTTTCCAAGCAGATAGTTGATATCCTCCTGGACATTACTAACAGCAGTGCAGAAAGTGGAAGACATCGGAAAGCGTGATCAGAGACTGCAACACTGAGGATTTAACGCCAACTTTTCGCCCTGTGATGACAGGCATAAAATTCAAATTTGCGAACAACAACTATCATCGAAAATATGGCGTTCCCATGGGCTCTCCTAGTCTTGTTTTAGCTGATCTCTATTTAGATTAACTGCTAGTAAAGGCCCTTAAATAATGTCAAGCAGAATTCAAGCCGTTATTCTACGCAAGATTTGTAAATGACATCTTCGTTTAATTTCCCACAAAGAACGACGGGCAAGAACAACAGAAAAGTTTCGCAAAGTATATGAATGGACAAAATACTCGAGGTCTAATATGCTTTATTAACCGAGGTCGAGGTGAATAAGAATATGTCATTCCTC